TACATATATGTATATACACCAAGCCTATTATTATATACACTCGAGATAAAAGTTTTAAACTAATCAGCGCTGTGTAAAAGATCAGGAATTATCATTTTGGACATATTTATTTTTGCTGAATCAAGAGTTAAAATTAAAAAATGATGAAACAAAGTAATGCGTTTTTAAATATTTAATTATATACAAATTATATTTCATACGTCTAAGATCTGTTATATATCATAGGTAGTAAATTTATTGCAACCACCAACTATAAAGGTCGTCGTCGCTTTGTGCGTTGTAAGAAATAGCATAGGCGAGAACTCTTACGTCGCTGATGAGGTAATCACGGCAAAATCCGGTGCAAGGATACGCGTGGGCAACACGGACGCCGAGGGTAGAATGGCTATGGCCGATGCTCTCTTTTATCTCAAAGAAATGGCCCTATGTTCTGTGAATCCGCATCTCTTTACAATAGCTACATTAACAGGCCACGCAGTATTAACTGCAGGTTTAGGATATTCCGTAAGTATTATAAAGTCATATTTGTAGTTATGCTTTTAATCGCATTTTAACGAATAAGATAACGCATGTATTTAGCAATTCGAATTCCTATTACTCGGATAATGATATAATATTACTTTGAATAAAAAGAGCGAATAATCTATATAGTTGTGCTATCACCGCGTAACAATAACAAAATTAGATGTTAAAATCTAGATGCGAACTGGCAGAAATATATACAGACAGTTATGTTTGTTGATTCATTGACGAAAGCATAATTGGACAGGATTATAAACGATCTAGATATGGCATACAGTTTTCCTGTGTTATATTGAAACGATCTAGATGCAACGTGCAGTTTCCCTGTGTTATATTGAATCCCGAGCGTGACATATGATATGATTTTGTTATCAAAATTGCTTGTAGACGTTAGCTATAATTCATCCTCTGAGGATACTTTGTTAGTAAACGATTCTCCGATAAAAGATCTATTTTATCATGTATCCATATTTTCGAAAATGCAGAACTTACATTTATATTTATTGCTATAGATTGCTATGGATAATGCTGTGGCACGACTAACTAGTAATGCAGAAAAGCTTCAAGCTTCCGGCGAAGTTGTTGGCGATCCATTCGAAATATCGCGAATACGTAGAGAGGACTTTCTTACTCATCAAGGACGTGCGGAAGGTGATAATATTCTTCAAGCACTAAATCAACTTAGTTCCAAAATTCCACGAGGTCATCAGGGACCAGCCGCTTTTCTAATTAAGGCTTCCGGATTAGACAAGGTATTATGTTTGTTGTTATTACTTTTAAGTTTTTATTTAAATTTAACGTGATATTTCTAGATATTATAACGTCGTTTAATAATTTATGACTTTTAGCATGGTAATGAATCAAAGGAACCATTAAAATATTGTCATCTGGACATAGCCGGCAGTGCCGGTGATTTTCCCGTACAACCAACCGGATCGCCAATTTTAGCATTAGCCAAAATGTTTCTTTTTGATAAAATAGAGACCAAAAATCCGTAATGCTGATATAAACTGCAATATTTTATGTATCATACATATCTTTATACATATTATATATATATATATCATACATATCCTTATGCCGTATAACTAAAGCAATTAATATTCATGACTGGCGCAAAGAACCTTGGATATTAACCGGAAATGCAAATAATAATTAATCATCTCTATAAATCCTTGAACCTCAGAGTTCCCATAAGCTGTACAACACGGATTTACTTGGAACACAATAAACTGCATTAGAGTCACTATGTAGATAAAGTAACGGATTTGCCAATAGGCATTTATCTAAGACGGCAAAATTTTAGAAGCGACAAATTTTTAAGATATCTTTTCAATATAAAATATTAAAATAAAAATTTATTTTTTATTGTATTATATTTGTTATCAATAAATTTATTACTCCAGATCTACCACAATTCGCTGGCTCGCGTAAAGGAGTATCTCGCGGCAGTATCTCGCGTCCCGCTTTGCTTGTCTTAGCGTCCAGACATTACCTGTCATTATCTGTCTCTAGATTTATTCATAATAATCCCTTTCTTTGTGTAATTTAACACTTTTTGTAATATTGTGATATTAAATATGAATAATGAATAATAACTATAGGTAATATCATAGCTATAAATTTGATTCTAATTTAATAATTAATAGTCATTCTCTCAAATCATGTTGCGAATAAGTACAAGATGAATTATTTGAAGATATTTTCAAATTTTTTTGAATTCTCAGTTATTTTGTGTATATCAATCAAGAATATTCATTATTTCACTCTTCATTCACCTTGTACTTATTGTACAATGAATCCTTTATAGATGATCGAGTTAATATAGACATCGTGAGCAGACATTAATTGTAGATTAAGAAGTTTTTCATTACGATGTTTCAAAATTCATTTATTCTCTCTCTCTCTCTCTCTCTCTCTCTCTCACTTTCTCTCTTGTCTCTCCCCTTCCTCTCTCTTTTCCCCTCTTTCTCTTCCTGACAATTTCGTATTGATTGCAGCATGGAGTTTGTAGTTGTACCCCTTTAAAATACACGCACATCGATTTATGCGGACATCTACCTCAACCTCATCACCTCCCGTACAGTGGCAATCCCGTCTTAGCTATGTCCTATTGCTATCTGATCCAAGGAAAATGTCTGACACTGCGAAATGATCTTCCTTACGAAATGCAATACGTTTGCGAACTCGACTGCAAGCCCATCTGTACATCTTGCCCGCCCTGCAAAATTCCCTGTGATCCCTGTGGCACCCCTTGTCCTCCAATCACCGGATGTCCCACTTATTCAAATACGAATTCCTGTGAGCGTCAAGCGCAATCCTATCCACCTGCTCAATCCGCGTCGCTAAAACCTAATTCAGAAACGATGTACCAGGGAGCAATATGTCAACCAAATGTCCAAAGAAACGAATTGAATCCGCGTGTATGACAATACATCAAGTTACGAGATATTCATGTGATATGAAGATTTATGAGGACCATTCTTGTATGGCGAGTCGTTAATCTTGCCATCGATTGAAGTCTGTTTTTACTACTTTTATTCAATTTATTTTATAGTTTTATGTTTATTGGACATAATGTATACATTTGTGAGAATAAAAAATATATTACGCATAAAAATCACTTTCTCACTTTTCTTTGCAGAGATCATTTTGTTTAATTGAAAAAATATAGTTTTAAAAAATTGCAATTATACCGGATAATAATCGAATAAATGTATAAAATATCTGCAGTCAATAAGTTCTTATGTATATCTGAAATCAGTAATCAGTGATAATGTACCTTCAGTTGGTACATCTTACGGTAGTCTTTATTATCAAAATATGGTTATATTTTAAATAATGTGTTATATAATATTATGAAATATATGTATATATTAATAAATACATATAAATTAATTGAACATAGTCTTCATAAATAAATGTATATTTTCTATTCTATTTTCGAATAGAAATGTATTTTAATCATTTTTCAAATTAGAGCTACCTAATTATACGTAATTGCTTGATGTTATTTTTATGTATTATGAATTTAATAGCGCATGTGCAATTAAAAACAATTCCTAATTTTTATGCTTTGATTTTTTTACTATTTTGAATATGAAACGTTATTAATCGTTAATATTATTTGATGATAACATATTGAATAATCAATATCAAAATAATTGTGTATATTCACAATGTGTATATTTATCAATTATAAATTTATGTTAAGTCAATCGTACTACAGCTAGAAGCGGAGAAGAGGATATGTTGGAGAACATAAATATAGTATAAAATAATTTCAAGAAGTATATATTAAAGCATATACTTATTAAAGTCATGTTTTATCATTGCGTGTCTATCGATAGTTAAAACCATATTTGACAATCACCAAGTTGCTTTACTTAATGCTAGCAAAAGAATGCCGTGGAAGGAAAACTTAATTAACTACTACGTCCTTTCTTAATTAAGAAAAAAACGCGTTTGGCGTATCTCGTAGAGATTACTGCGAACGAAGTAAACTTCCGTTTGCGTTACCATCACACGTTTGCTTTCTCACGATCGAAAGCCTGATCTAAAACTAATTTTGGAATTTTTTGCTGCAATTTTTTGAACATTGATGTTAGACGAATGGATTGACAGAGTACAAATGCTTATCTATAATTCTCATTAGATTATTAATTCAAATCTCTTCAAGTATTTATGTAGAGATACAAATTACAATAAATGATGTATGTAACAATTTGAAATTGAAATAAAAATTATTTAACGAAATGCTTAAAGAACAGATTATTATTAGTTTTTATAATTTGTAAATAAATTTAATATCAACTTTGCTATTAATCCAAAATATTAAAAATTTAATCCATGATTGAGAAAATATCAGTTCAATTATTTTATCATCTGATTATTTATATTTTATGTCTAATATTAAATATCAATCATTTCGTATATATGAAATACGGATTAATTGCATCAACAAAATCGACGAAAACATGACAATCGCGAATGACAGTTTCGGAGATACGAGGTAAAGTGGATAATACACAATTCACAGGCAGTAACATAGTGACAAGAGAAGGCAGCATTATTAGTGCGGTGATACATATGAGTTGACATTGTGAGGAACCTGAAGGCGCGCGCGCGCGCGCGCACGTCCCACACACACACACACACATATCCACACACACACACACACACACACCACACACACACACCACACACACACACCACACACACACCACACACACCACACACACACCACACACACATCACACACACACACACACACACCACACACACACACACCACACACACACCACACACACACCACACACACACACACACACATCACACACCCCGCGAGTCGTCGGTTGCAAGAAGCGCGATGCGAGGTTCGCAAGGAGGTAACATACCGGACGAAGGGCGTAGAGGGGTGGAGGAAGAGAGTGAGAGAGGAGGAGGCGGTAGGGGGCAGTGTGGCGGGTTCGACGGCCGGCTGGTGGCCCAGTGACCGGGACCGGTTCCCTCCGCGGTTCCTCCTTCCGCCTTCCTTGCAAACGCACAACTGCATCATCGACTCACCTCGCTTCGTCTCCGTCACTGTTCCCCTCACATCCCAAGCCTGCTTCTTCTCTTTCTTACTCCCTCCCTCTTTTCTCTCACACTATCTCACCCTTTCTCTATCTTTCTTCAAGACCGTCTGCCAACTCTCCGCTTACCTCCTTCTCGATCCAATCCGATGCGCGCCTTCGCACTTGCGCCTCTCTCGTCTCCTCTCGTTCATTCGACCGACCGACCGGCCAGTCGACTGTTTCTTTCTCTCTCTCTCTCTCTCTCTCTCTCTCTCTCTCTCTCTCTCTCTTCGTCGTCATATATCCCGCGCGTCTCCTTTCGTCTTTCGCACGAAAGAGTTGCCACATGCGCGAAACAGCCCACCGCCTTCTTCGTTGATTCTCTCCGTGATGTCGATGCAATGCTTTTCTCTCGCTTGCACCATTTTGCCACTCGCGCACTCTACAGCGTCCATCTCATCCTCTCTTTTTCTCTTTCTCTCTTTCTCACCTCGCGAAGCAAAGGTCATGCCGCGTATTCGCTTCTTCATTCTTCCTTCTCCCTGTCCTCTTTCTCTTAGCTGCCTCATCGTCGTTGGCTGTTTCGTCATTTCGTTCTCTTCATTTTCTTTGTATCTCGTAGTTCATTTAGTGATCGGGCTGGCAATGCGGGTGGATATGCAATTATTTATCCCACACGTGGGCAGTCCGCGGATAGGAAGGACGGAATTCAAAGATAAATGAACGAATGCCGGTTTCAAATGGGAGCCGTAGTGTATCATACGACGCGACATCACAGGGGGATCTTTAAATTCAGGACTTTGGGTCTGGTCTCGAACACCTCAGTCAAGGACTTGAAAGGAAAAGTAGTTCTATGCAGAAGAAAGAGAAGCAGAGAGAAAGACAGGGAGAAAGAACCAGAGGGAGAGATCGTGTGAGGGAAAGAGGAAGAGACGAAGGAAGAGGAGAGGTCGGGAAGGGAAGGAAGTGAAAGTACGATGAAGGCCTGTGTTAGTTACCAGCGCATCCGAGATTTTGTCGTGCTACCGCCTTTCTTCCGTTTTCCTCTTCTTTCTACCTCCCTCCCCCTCCCCCTTTCTCCTATTTCCTCCGGTTGCTGTCGTCGTCGCTTCTCTCTCCCTGTTTGCATTCACACCTATGGTTTACGAGGACTCGCTGATAGTTTGTAAGTTCGCATATAACGAGCGCACCCGTACGTGTACGTATACGGAAGGACGCAACGTGGAACGGAGATAACTGGCTATTACGTTCGCGGAAGGAAAGTGATTTTCCCAAGGGCGCACTGACCTCCAACTATGAGACTATTCTAGTTTTTTTTCTCTAAACACAATTTAGATTGATTTCTATTCAATTATTTATGCGCTACATGACTCTGCATTTCCTTACACAAAATATCTAATGCAAGCTACAAAAACTGAAACTAAAAAAAAGCTATAAAATTTCAAAATTTTTTAACAGAAAAAAGTTTAGAAAAGAAATTTTATGATATCTTTTAGATATTGCACAAACTTATATCGATATTAAATAAGAGAATGTTTCTAAACTTATTCATTACAAAATAAAATAAATTGTGATCTTGGTAAAACTAAAAAGTACAATATTTCCCTATTTTACTTTAAGTCATTTTAAGACATATAATTGAATGACATTAATTTATGTGCTATTATATTGATATAACAAATGAAGAACCCTAATGTGCTTATGTACGTTATTCAATGCTAATTCACGTCGACGTTTATGATTAATCGCGATAGATAATACTACTGGCATATCGGTCGTCTTTTTGCCATCGATTAACCGTACCGATCGTGATCGTCCATTGCGCGTCTTCCGATCCCGTTCCTTTGGCCTGCTTCCTCGAATGAAAAAGGTAATCAACGAGTGCGGGCAACGCGGTTCCGTAAAGGAGGGCGTCCGTTAGAAGGAGGATGTCGAAAATCCGTTGGAAGAGGCTGGAGGACGAAGGACAAAGCGACGAAACGGGAAGAGGACCCGAGTGAGATGTAGGTGAGGAGGAGAAACCGAAAAAAAGAAGAAAATGGGCCGTGGTCATTCGCGCCAAACTATTCTTGGGCGACTTCGTAACGGTATATCCAATGAGACCCAACTCACGAATATACTTTAGGCACGCGGCCCTTGTCCGGTTGTCTCCGAACAGCTCCATCCAGCGATTCATCGAAGTTTATACCTCTGATATGGCCCGTTGGCTCATACTTTTGCCTTCTGTTTCCTCCCTTTCTCTCTCTCTCTCTCTCTCTCTCTCTCTCTCTCTCTCTCTCTCTTTCTGTCTCTCTTTTCCCTTCGTAAAGTTAACATGTGACGAATTGGGCTGCTTCTTAGGATAGTCACGAGACTTCTCAAATATTCTTGGGCCAAATGAAACGTGACGCGAATAGTATGCGTCTTGTGACAAGTATATGTATATTGCGTTGGTGTTTGCGGAAATTTGTTTATTGTTAATGGAATATCGCCATATAAAGGAATACATGCAGGCCAATAACAGAGATCGACACGGATATTATTGATCTTGCATGAAGTTTCATTGGAATTGATATAGAAATCTATCTATCAATGTTCCTTCAAAGCTACATGAAGCCAATCATGATCATCTACTATAATGAATGTTTGGGATCTGTGTTATTCAATGATCTTTTCGTTCATTTAACACCGCTTTATTGGATTCATAATCCTAATTTCAAATATACTTGACATATTTTAAATAATATATCGCAGAAACTCGTTATATTATAGATGTTAATATTAATAGAAACTTTTTTGAAAATATGAAATTCTGCAAGATATTGCAAAAAATTCATATCCATCACATTCTAATACACATGCTTAGATGACTTACGTCTGACTTATATTTATTA